AGCTCAATTTGGTTCAGTGTTAACAGTGCAGGATTCAAGCTGTTCAAGTGGAGTCTGACTATCAACACAGGAGACGTAGGAAGTGAAGCTTTATTGACTCCCACACTCTGAACACAGGCAGTTTGCCTCCTGAGCTCCTGCTGGTTTGGCCACTGATGTGTAAGGAGCCCTGCCGCCATGTCTCACAAAACTTGTTAATATGAGTAGTAGCATCTACAACAAATCATTTTTTTTACCACATCTGCTATGGATTTGTGGAACAGCCTAAGAATCCTATTTTAATCCCTCTAATTCTTTCTCTGCTCCTAATCCCTTTTCAATTCAACTCTCTGAGTGACCTAAGTAGTCAAGCCTAAAATGTTGGCACAGAATTCTGTCAGCGTATTATATTGTTCTACACAATTTCAGGTCTCTTTTATTATGTCTGGTAAAGCACAGAAGAAGAAGACTTGTTGTCTGGAGAGAAAGATGATTTTGGTCTGCAGCCATTTAGTTCAAGATGCTGCCTAACTGTGGAAGAACAAATATTTGACCTTATGCTTATTTCCAAAGATTCTAAAGCAGCCACTGTATTGTTATCATAATAATAATGATAATAAATTGTATTTATATATCACCTTTCAAAACAATGTTCTTTACAAGTCGAAAAATGACAAATTGAAGGCAAACCATAGGAGACTGTTAAAAGATGAGAAAACAGTAAAAAAAGATAATAAAACATGATTGAAATAGTTGTTAAGATCAGAACAAGGAGAAATGATAACTATAAAAATGTGACAAACTAGGGTTATCTCTTTATCTCTTTTTTTTAAAAAGCTGAACAATATTAACTACACATCCTGACATTTAACGTCCCACTAGTGGGGCTCTTTGTGTTTAGTCTGATGGTCAATGTAGCTGTCTCATCGGTCCATTAGCTAATAAGACAGACAAGGTCAGAGGTCAGAGGTCAGAGGAGCTCAGGGGGTAAAAGGAAGGAAGATGAGTGGAAACATAAAGAAACAAACAACAGAGGGGTTGAGTGATGTCTGTTGTTGTCAAACAGTTGAGATGAGTACAATGACAGACGTGTGAGGCTATAGGAAGTAAGAAGTAGAGGAACACAACAGCCACAACAGTGACTGTCAGACTTCACTTTGGTACAGTGATTTGAGCTAGAAGATACTAACCTGCTCTCATGACAATTCAAACATGCTGATGTTCAGTAATCATAATGTTTATCATGTCCACCATCTCAGTAAGACATTGCTAACATTTTATAATTACCTTTGAAGTACTGTGTATTCATGTGGTGTCGGAATGATCAAAAAAATGTGTTCCTCGGAAAGTAATAATACCTAACACCAGACTTTTTATTGCTTACTATAAGCTATTATTATTATTATTATTATGTATATGTCTGTCACACCTGATCCATTTCTTTACTCATCATCATTATGTAAATATTGGGATATATTAATCTCTAAATACATCAATACAACACATTTTGTTTCTATCGTCCATCTTTTTACACATTCCAACTTCAAAGCACAACTCCACCTTGACCAACCACAGCAGCCACAAGCTGCTAAAACATGAACGCACCAGTGATAATTATCCAACTACGTAAACACTCACCCAGCACACAGAGGATAGTTCCTCTAAACGTCCTCATGAGTCCACAGCACAGAGAGGAGACAAAAGTCAGAACATCAACATCACAACTCTGGAAATAAGACCCTCTGAGGAGTATGTGAATGCACAGGTAGACCTGAAGCTGGTGGGAATGTCCCGCTGCCTGATGTGAAACTTAATGGGTCATAAATTCTGAGGGGAACATGAATTTAAATTTCATGGCAATCCATCCAGTATGGAAACATTTCAATTTAAAAAACATGTCAACCCCATGGTGAGCCTTGAGGGGAAAGTTAGGGGATTACCAAAGCCAGTGGGATACTTTGTCTGGAAACCATGAATGACTGTGCTAAGATTTATGGCCATCCATCAAGTCAAGAGTTGACTGACCAGTGAACAGATATTTCCGCTCTTAGTTCACTGCATTTGATGCTCGAAAGGAGACAAACCTTCAGAGACTCCTTTTTTGTTGCTTGTCTGTTGAAGCAGAGGAAATAAAAGAAAGACCCCGGCAATAAATGTAACCATCAAACTCCAGCACAAGGAATCAACATTATGATAGCCAGAATTACTCCTTTGCCACAATCCACGAGTCCACCTCACCTCACCTGCCGCAATGTGATTATTGGGCCTACTGCGGCCTGGGATGCTCTTTAGTGCTACATGTGGATTGTCAGTGCTCGCAGTTTGCTGACAAATCATGTATTTTCCTTCCTCTGAGGTTCCCCCTTCTCCTGCTGGCTTTTGACTCTCACCCACAGTCTCCCAACCCTGAAAACTTCCAATAAAAACTAATTTGGCCTCTCGGGAAATCAAGCCAACTTAAGCTGAGGAGTGGCACCAACTCCAACTATCCCTTTGTGCTTTCTGTATATCTCGTTCTACTCCCCCTCTTTTCCTCTCATTCTCTCTGCCACTCACTCAAAGCCAGGACTTTACTACAGCTATTTCTCTCTGTGTGACCCCCACCTGCCCCTCGCTGCAGATGAATGTGCAGCTGCAAAAGGAGGCGGGCTCCCACAATGTGGTTACTGTGTACACTGGACATTTTAAATGGATGGGTGCATGATCCCCACTTGCAAATTCAATAGTCAAGCTTTTAGTGTCATCCCTTTCTTCAGATTTCCATCTCTTTCACAGAGAGCTATTTGTCAACGTGGTTATGAGTGGACTCGACCATCGCACAGTGTGGAGCCCCCTCTGCCACTATGTGAGTCTTCCACGCCATCAGGGATGATTTGGGAACAGTTGACCTGAAAAAAAAAGAATGAATGGTAATATGGCTCCATGTGATGCAATGTAATGAATCGGGTACATATTGCATTAGCTTTGAACCAAGGCAAGAGGAATCAATGAGTCCTCCATTATCCTAACTGATTAACATCCATAATACTGATAGGAGATGTAGTGATGGTGAGGTTCAGGGAGCAGGCCAGTGCTTACATGGCATAATAGGCCTTCAGGTCTGATGGATTACTGAAACAATTGAGAGGAAGCTGTCAAATTATAAAAGGCAATGTCTTTACTGACTATGATCCACGTTATAGATATAGTTAAGATGGTGGATTCAAGGGAAATTCGAGAATATCCTTGGTTAAAGGGAAAATCCTCCTTGAAAACCCTGTCAATGATGTAACAAAAGACAATCTCATCACAAGGCCCATTGAGTAGCAGTCTTGTAGCTTTCAGTCAAATCACTTGATCTTCATTGGGAGATGGAGTTTTCCCAAATATAAAATAAATTGAGATTTGTTTTTCCTTCAGCACTTTAACGAGTTGTCATCCATGTTAACCTATGAAACAGCACTTGAAAAACTAAATCACATTAAAATCCATCTAACAGCTGTTTCTGACATCATGTATTCTTCAGCAGAAATTAATATTTTCTTTCAGGGATGTTGTTCACTGTATTCCAGGAGTTCCTTTGCTCTGTTGTGGTATAAACACGTAACCTCGATCACATTTATTCTGGCTTTTTATAATAACTTTCTGAAAGGTGTTTAGGGATACGTGTCATGTACGCTGAGTTCATGATTTAGAGAAGGTCCAGTTGTTGCAAATAAAAATAAAGTGGAGCTCTGATTGCAGTTTGTGTGCACTTGTACTTCAAATAAACCCACTCCAAATGCTAGCCTTAAACAACCTAATGTTACAATTACAACCTGCATTCAAATACATCTCTCTGAAGCTGGCTTATTACTCACATTAGTTGCCCTCTGCTGCCCCCTACTGTTACAAATTGAAAACCACACTAACAAGCTGCTGTTACCTTTCTGTTAGAAAGTACACAGAGATCAATAAATGTGTCTGACAGAATTATTTAGAGATGAAAACGTAACAAGTAGAAAAATGTCTCTTGTTCTGCTTCAGAGCAGGTAACACTGGTCATAGAGCCTGGAATATAAACTGCATATTTATTGTCACAAATGTATATAATGTTCTAGGTAAAGAGTCACATACTGATATAAGCATATTATGTCTGTGTGTGATCCATATGCACTTTTCACGTCAAAGGAGAAATAATCCTCCTTTGAGAGCTTATTAATTGCTAAATTAAAGATGAAGATTTCTGAGGGAGAAACTATTATTTATTAAACCTGGCTTGGTTGTGTAATGTATACATAACACAACCAAGCCAGCTTTAATAAAATTAAAGTGTGTTCAGTGTGTAGAATTTAGTGACATTTGGTGGTGAAGTTGCATGTGGCAGCTGAACACCCCTCACCTCACCCTCCCCTTCCAAACATGACAGAGAACCTGTTGTAGCTTTCAGTTGTCATAAAAACTCAGGTGTTGAGTTTGTCCATTTTAGACTACTGTAAGAAACATGTCAGCCTCCGTAGAGAGGACCCCCTCCTGATGTAAATATAAAATATGTAAATATAAACAGCCTATTCTAGTGCAAAGAAAACAATTAGATCCCTTTCACCTAAATCTTTCTGACTGAACATTTAAAGCTTCCACGACAAATCTCTCTGCTGATGTGACGTGTTTGCTTCTTGGATGTAGGGATTTTTTAAATGTAAATGAATGGTAAATCACCATATATATGTATCCCACTGTATTCTACAAGTGACCCTTATCATTTGATACCTATGACTTGTGTACTTACATTATCTAAAATAATCCATCATTAGGTGTTTTCAACAATGCTCAAACCTGGTGTCAATTTAAGAAAGGTAACAGGACGTTCCATTTTGGTCGCCCTTTAAATCCATCATATCCTCTTTACCCATGCTTTGTCTGCCTGCGTTATAATTTCAAACAACGTATGAAGAAGGAAAAACACACTGCTGCTGTTTTTTCCGTCCATTGTTTGTATTGGTTACTCGCGATTATTCATTGTCATTTGCTGTGTAACAAGAATAAGACTTTACTACATTACGTCATCTGTGAACATGATTTGTAAGGTAGATTTTAATCTGCAATGGCGATGAATACAAGAACTCCCGTGATCCCTTTCTTGCACATTAAATTTCATGACGTCAAACCAGCTGGCCTTCTTGTGGGTCACTTTGGTCTTGACTGCAGCAGTGACTTCATAAAGTCATGAGGAAATCATTGAAGGATCTGACTTTACAATTCATTTAGAATAGGTTAAAAACTCTACATGTACAATATTTCTTTTGACTAAACTGTGAGACAGGAGCTGTTACCTCACTTTTGCTGCTATGATGTGAATTATTGACTTTGTTGCTGCAGTAATAACTAACAAAGGAATTTTGCTTTTGAATGGTGGCTTTCAAACGTATTGCACAGTAACACTGCTTTATTAATTTTGAAAACAAATAAACTGATGGCAGACAAACTCAACAGCTACACTAAGCAGTAGCAATTCATAAAAATAACTAATCCATTTGCTCATCAACTCGCAATAATAGTCCAGCCCATGCAAAGGCACACTGATCGTCATTGTGTAACAGATCCCTCTCCATTTTCTCTCAGCTCTGCGGCGTAGGTTGCTTATTAATCACTAAACCCGTGTTCAGCTCTCCCGGGGAATTCACAGCAGGACTGGCCCTTACGCACAGCAGCAGGTAGCATGTTGTCAGTTTTCATGAGGTAATGGACACCATGTTGTTTGGACTCAGGATCTCAATCCAGTAGCCGTCAGGGTCCTGAATGAAGGCCAAGCCTTTCATTTTACCTGACAAAAAATAAGGGGAGGAAAATGATTTGCGAATATATGTAAGATTTCCATCTTGATGAATTCTAATCACAGCACAGGTGAAATGACAATAAATTTAATCTATAGACCTTATGTTCACCGATGCTTCACATCTTACCATCATCTGGCTTCTTGACAAACGTGACCCCTTGTTCTTCAAACAACTTACAGGCTGCGGTGACGTCAGGAACTGCGATTCCAATGTGTCCTGTCAAACGTCAAGTAGACTGAGACTGTGAATTCTAAATCCACACAACAGCTCCACAAATCCACACTTTGCTTTATGAGCTGATACATTAACGTCAACAGTTAAAAGGAAAAATGTATAACTGGCAAGTTAATTGGTACTGTGCATTTTAAAATTAGAATGACATTAAATAGAGCGCATACCTTCACCAACAGTCCCCTTATGAAACCACATTTAAAGCCACTAGATTCAGATTTTTATTCAGATCTGCAACTGTATAAACTCCTAAATATCAGTTTCCTAAAGATTCTTTTCATCTATGAATTATTCTCTAAGGAATCAAGGAAAATTTTGAAACACCTTATCTGGTCCACTCAATGCTGTTGTGTGTATGCTTTTGTACCAATATTCTGTAAATGATCCAAGACTATGAAAGTGTAGTATTGCACTGCACATGATGATGTATGGATTTCATTCACTCAACCTGTGACACACCATGACTTTCCCCCTTTTTATAGCTCTATGCGCAAGAAGCAAACAATCTTACCAAAGCCACGTGGATCAGAGTTTCCATTGTGATAAGACTGACTCTCATCAGCCTCAGAGCCCCAGTTACTGACAGACAGGAGAAAGAGATGAGAGACGACATGAAGAGAAGAAGTGAGTACATTATTATTTTTGATTACTTGCAACACTAACTGGAAATTTCAAAAAAAAAGAAGCAGATTTAAAAATATTATACCGTCGGTGCACTGGTGGGACATACATGCAAGAAGTAAAATATACATCAGGGTTTTTTATGTACAGTAGTGATTATTTATAATTTCATGCACTCATCACACAGCTCTAACTCTAGGATGACCCTCACTGTGTCAGCTCAATGGTGGCTCTTCTGGAGAAGGTCCAGGCCGTCTTCTCCTTCACTTCTGTAGGAATATCCTTCTTATCCTCGTAGCCCAAGAAGAAGAGAGAGAAACGCATGGAGGGGAAGTCAAACTTTTGCAGGAGCCTGTAAGAATTTACACACCAGAGAGAAAAACCTCACTTGAGTCCTGGTTATGAATGAGAAAGTGCTTCGACCCCACACACAGCTGTGTGAAAAATGTATTCCGTAAACTCTGATTTTGTTGCAATAACGACAACACATCGATTTAAACTTTAATTAACTGAGTTCCACTCTAATACTTACGTCATGCCGAGGATTCTGGTGTAGAAATCCAAGGATTTAATTGGATCTTTGACCCGCAGCATAGTCTGCTGCATCATGAAATCCTACAACAGAAATGCAAGGACAGAACTTTACACACACATACAGTGACAGTGTAATAAAATGTACAGTAATGCAGATAGTCAATCACTAAAAATACAAAGGGATATCACATTGTTTCTTTGAAATGCAAGACAAACTCAAATATGTTTCATGTGGTGACAATAAAAGGCCTGAACATGAGCAGTAATAGAAGAAGAATATAAATGTGAGCAGTGAATTTAAATGTGCTGCACCACAGTGTGCTAAATAGAATGGTGGGTAATTTGTGGGCACTGCTGGTTAGCCACAGCCCAAACAGGAAGCAAACTGTGGATAATCAGCCAAATTGTTGTTGCACATTTACATTTATGAGCAATTAAACTGTCTAGACCCTGCAACCACAGTGGAAAACAGATTATTATGACATGATGATTGATTTATGAACGGACATACACTGAACACCGGAGATAGTAGAGTAGGGATGGGATTTTATTAATATCAAAACTGATACTGCTTATCGATACATTTAAATACTAGTATTGATACTACTCTCTATAGTTTTGAGCTTTCAGTTTAGGCTAGGGTGTGGGGAGGGAGGATACAAGGCAGTTAGGTCTAATGTGCATCTTCCCTAATCCTGAAGCAGCGGCATTAATGATTTTGCCACGGCTGGCTGCATAACGGAAACCCCGAATGTAACATAAATAACACTAGCAGCTCAGTTTGATCCGAAGCTCATCAATACTTTTATACTGACCAATTAGAAACTACTGCTGAATCATATTCTTGTGTTAGAAAGTGCAACACCTTTGTTTGCAGGGAGAGAGGATCCGTCTCATTGTGTTGTCTGTTCCTGGATTCCAGCAAAGGAACATTTGTATCTTTGCACTCACTCATAAAAGGGATTTTAGCCAAACTGCACCTCAGGGCAACCGAGTGCACATGATCACCTCATGTGTTTGAGCTACAGAGCAGCCAGTGTTACAGACTCATCTTATCACAGATGAGTTACTTCTTTTCTGGGCAAAAACTAAGTTTTAGTTTAGCAAACCACAAACACTTAAAAACTTAGAATTGTGACAGCATCACCTTGCCTTCACAACTGGTTGTTGCTTTTAAGATGCAGATAACAAGCGCTCTTATCTTTTCAATGGTGAAAAGTGTCAAAATAATGTAACATAATGCAGCTAGCATGTTGACAATGTGATTAAACAAGTTTTTAAGTGAATGAGAAATAAACTTCTGGGGTGTGTTTTGCAGTCGAGTGTTATCTCTGTGGCGAGCAACTCTTTCCCTTTCCCGTGCCCTTCCTCCAAACATTGTCAAGTTGTCTACACGTCCATAGAAACTCCTCTGCAGTGTAATACACACAGCCATGTTTCAGTCACCGTCTGGCAAAATCCATAACTTCTGCAAAAGATACAAAACCTCCAAACCAATGATGGCGTGACAAGATGCAGTCCATTTAGCCATAATTTAGAAAAATCTATGTAAAACACACAGCAAACGTTTGGATGAATGGCAGGTTGTGCTGCTGGAGGAGTTTCAGAGGTCTCTGCAAAACGGTGCTATAGAATCTTACTTTTCTCAGGTCAAATTTGAACAAATATGAACTTTGACCTGACAATCGGACTGAACTTCTGCAGCAGACGTGTTAACAAATTCCAGAAAGTCTTCAGCCTGGACTTGTAAATGAAAACTAGAGCCAATATTCACAGAAACCACTGCAAGTGGACCTGGGGTTGAGTTTGTTGAACAATGGCCTACAGAATCCCCAGTGAGTGTGCAGACAGTCTGATAGCGAATGATTAAGAGAGAGTAATAATAAGATTATGTGTCATTCTGTGTCAAGTCATCACACTTTTGGGATGCACCATTACAGTTTGAACTTTTGAACTCTGTCACATTGACTGGCGAAGTATCTACTTCAATATATTTAACAAAGAAATGGTTAAACAGTATGTGATCCATAACATAAAAAAAAACAAAACAGGATTATGAGTGATTGTAACAGTTAAAGTACAATTTCAAGAAAAAAACAACAAAATCTTAAAATTGGGGACATTTTCACCAGTTATGAAAGATGTATGGAAATTGGAAGGTGCATCTATGGCATGTGTTCTTCATAGTATGACTCTTGATCTAATACTACAAGTCTTGACTGAAGTATATCCTTGTTTTTATTGTCTATGTATATAGATTGTATATATATATTAATTGTCTGCTAATAAGGGGTGGGTCCAGGGGGCACTGGCCTCAACTTCAAGGCCCCTCTCCTGTCAGTGGTCTCTTTTTTAATACAAATAATATTAGTTGTTATTATACATCTGTGGAAAACTAGAAATATCACAATTTGTTAAGAATTCCTATTAAAGTGTTTTCGAAGTATACAACATGCTTGAAAAGGGAATACTTTTTCAGAATATAATCAATGATGTGTGGCTTCGAGACTTCAAGACTGTATTTGTGACGTGAACAATAATTACACACAGCAGCCGCTGCCAATGAAATCCTGGGGTCACAGGTTCTTGGGTCGCTCAGAGCTAAAGAGCGAACAGTAACTATAGAGTTAACAGTAATCAAGGAGTGACTTAAAAGTGCATGTCACTGGATCAGGAATACTGTAAGGAATTATGGATTTACAACTGGCCCCTCAAATCCCCCCCCTTGCATAAGAAAGATCCTACATCCGCCCCTGGCACAGTAAGGGAGGGCGATCAGGACAGTGAAGAACAGACAGAGAGGACACTTGTGTCTCTGAGAGCTGCACACTGCTCAACCAGAGGCTGATCTAGTCACTGAAGTGGACATGTTAGCTCCAGCTCCGCTAGCTCACCTGAGCTGCTTCCAGGTGTGACCGCGCCTAAATACCGACTCTGCTCGCAACAGTTGTGTGTCCACGCGAGAGCTAAAGTTGAACAGCGGGAGCAGCTAGCTTACAACAGCCTGGAATCCAAGCACTTCTTATTAAAGCTGACACGTTTCTATCAACGCTACACCCACCAGAAGCGTCGACAGGCATGTTTAGCATAAAGCTAATGACTTGTCACCGCAGAACTAATGTGCGGCTGAGCGGAGGACGTAAACACCCATGTGTCTGTCCGATAATCGACGCACAGCTGAGTCGCTGGCCTAGTTTGACGGAGTGTGGTAGAAGTTAGGTCCAGATCTGAGGGACAGGAAGTGTCTCACCTTAGTGATCGAGTCTCCATCTTTACAAGCTGCAGCCGCGGCCTCGTCTGACAAACCTTTGTCGCTCATTTTCTCTGAATGACGGTGGTTACTACACCAGCTCTGCTGAAGAGGGAGAGAGAGAGAGAGAGGGAGAGAGAGAGAGAGAGAGGTTCAAACACACAGAGCTTCCGCTACAAGCTGTCAAAATAAAAGGCAGCTATTGGTACGTACGTACTACAGAGCAGCAGTGTCACACCTTCATATAGTCAAGTGGCGACTTTACAGCGTTCATCAACATTATGTTATAAATAATCCTACACCAGCGAATGTGTTACACATTTTTAATTTTGACTTACATTGGCACATTTTTCAGACAAACAAACAGAGAACATTAAAACCTTCTAATATCTAAAATGTTAATATATAGAACAATCAAAAAAAGAGCCAGTGTTTACATTAGCAGATATAAGTTGGAACCATACAAATATGTATACCTCATAAATAACTTGAAATAAACAATATAAAGACATTATAAGGTCAGTGCTTTAATTACTGGTGTCCCATATGAAAAGTGCTGTATTTTTGATGCATGGTAAAAAATGATGTTAGCTTTTCAAAGTGGCTTTATAATTAACACAATGGGCAACTGTAGAAACACAAAGAGCAATACACAATTAAGAAAAAAAGAAGTCACACCAGAAAAAAAATAAACTAAATAATAAAAACTAAAATCATGAAACATTTTGATGTATTATGAATACAGTCTGGCTTTTTCTTCTTCAACTGTCTCCAATTCAAAGGAACCTCGTAAAAGGGTGATTTCCAATTGCATCTTGAAAACTGTTGAGAGTGCCAGTGTTTCGTTTGAGACCAGGTCACAACTTTTCTACCAGTTTCTTGTTTTATTTTGAAAAAACAAAACCCGAAAGTACCACTGTATCAGTTGACCAGATGTAATCAAGGAAGGTTGCCATTCAATCCACTATGTGATTATTACATTGTATATTTGCCTAAAAATATATTCCTAAGTAAATACAGTAATCCTGTCTCAATTACTTTTTGAAGCTTACAATGTTCAGTAAAATATAATGCTACATGTGTGATTGTACACATTGTTTTCTCTATTACTTTTACATTGACTAGTTAAATATATATATGTGTATATATATATATATATATATATACACACACACACAGTTTTCTTCTACATCATCTTCCAATTCATTAGGCCGATACAAATAAGCAATAAGAAACTGCAGTGCATTGATTCTCATGTTTAAAGAAAGATTAAAACAACCACACGATAGTTTGCTTATAATTTTATTATTATTATAGACAACTTGTAGAATTCTTTCACAGGAGAGAAGTGGCAGAAGGCTACATTACTGGGTATTGTCCACACACACAGTTCCTCACAGATGTTCGTCATTCGCCTCTGGTGGATCTGAAGGATTTGCATTGAGCCACAGTCTGTAACCTGTGTCGTACAAACAGAAGGAGGGCGGCTGACAAAGCTGTGAGAGTAACACCCAACCTACAAGCCTGAATACCTGGAGTTCCTGAGACAGTGTGGTAAGGTAAGTAAAGAGAACTTCTGCCCAGAGGATACAACATGTGACTCAGGATGGTTTTTTTCTCTGTTGGTTCTCATTTGGGGTTTTGACAGATTTCGAAAGGCCTAGGCCCTCTCAATTTATCAATACTGACAAAAATATTATTTTAAAAAGAACAACAAATATTACATTTTACGTTGGGGTTATAAAAAAAAAAAATTGCTATAATATAGACATTTTCAAATCCAGCAGCTTCTTTTACAATTTAACTAGTTGTATTTAGAAGGACTCCAACAGTTATATGATGACAAACCTGCCTGACAGAGAGGATTTATTATGTAAGAGGTTTCTGTTGGTGACTTCCATTCTTGTACAAACCACTTCTGGACGGTGAGCGTTCTCCTGATGTGGTCGTTAGAGAGGAGGGGAGAAACAGCACCAGTCGTTCTCTCTCAGAAGTAAGTAATCTGAGAGTAAACTCTCTTTTTCACCTCCTTTCAGATGGATTGCAACAATGTTAACATGTAAAAGAAATACAGAGACAAACCCACCATCCATTCACAACCATATCCATATCAACCAGGACACCCAAAGGAGATTAAAAAAAAGGAAACAGAAAGGGTAGGAAAGCCCTTTTCAACTGCGATCTTCCTCCTCCAGGTTCTCAGTAGCTGCGTCCAAACATGGTGTAATACTTGGCAGGCTTCTTGCAGTTGACGCACACTTGACCAGGCTGCAGCGTCTTCAGGGGAGAGAAGGGAATACAGAGGCTCTTGGCTCCCATGGATGGAGCTCCAGGCTCCAGGTCCTGGTCCCTGATGAAACAAGAGCAAAAAACATCTTAAAATGATTGAAATTAGTACTCAGAGCAAAACCCTGAATGACTGCAGCACATCAAAATGCAGTGTGTTGTTTTTAACCCCTTCCGGAACTGTTTTTAACTCTGTACTTTTTACATCCATATATTCAAATTACATATTTAATGGGTACTCTGCATCAAACATGCTGTCAAGCACTGACTCATGTCAGTATGGACATACTTGGTAGTGGTTTTCTTGATGTAGTCCTCACACTCGATTTCTCCACAGAATGGGATCTGCACCATCTATGAGGACAAGACAAACCACAACATCATATATTTACTCTGGTGAGGATGGATATTTGAAACGTATGAGGGTTATGTTACTCACCTTGCCCTTGTCCAACTCTTTCTGGAACTCTTCCATCGAGTCTGCAGCCACCATGTGACTCTTCATGTCATCTGAAGCTCTAACAAACAAACACACACATACACACACTTTAATCAATTTTCTTGTATGTGCAGCTTTGTCTTGTGTTCTCGGTGGCTGAAACTTTCAGTCTGTGGATTCTTTAACACAATGTATCTCCAACAGGAAGGTTACAAACGCTCAGCTACAACAACTGCAATATAGCAGTTTTCTTTTTGCCTTAATCACAGCTACATGTAATCATGATCACAGCAGTCCTGTAGCGATGACATATCAGCCAAAGAAGTCCAAAAAACCTCAGTATAGAAGTCTGATTGACGATTTTTTTGTGCGTTTGAGTGCCAACATTTTTTTTTCTTTCATATCAAATTGAAACCTAATTTATTGAAATTCTTTCTGTGTGAGTAAGAGCAAGTTTAGACATGTTTCTCTGCCGCGTTTCCATTTAGATTCAAGTGATATGTTTTCAATAAATCTTCTTTGTAACCAGTTCAGTGTCTGACACTGGAGCGTAGTGCTGTATCTTACTTTTTGAACAGGCAGTTCTGGATGTCCTCCAACATGGCAGCTAGCTTTGTCTCTGCGTCTGCCTCTGGAATCGTCACTTTTGCTCCAGAGTCTCTCCTCACTGCAACGCACTGACGCTGCTGCATGTCTTTAGGGCCAACCTCCAGACGAATAGGAACTCCCTAGATGACACACAAAGAAAAAAACAACAGTGAGAGAGATTCAATGATAAAGCTGATGCCTGAAGTGTTAGGGGATTATGTAACCATTTGTTCCACCTTATTTCAGACTGTAAGTCTGCAGGTTAAGCTCAGTAAACTATGTTTAATATCACATGAACATTCATTCTGCTTCTTTAATTTATATAAGTTATTAATGACCTTGAGTTCCCAGTGGTTGAACTTCCATCCTGGGGAGTAGTTATCTCGCACGTCACACTTCACCCTGATGCCAGCGTCCTGCAGCCTCCTCAGGTATTTGGAGCACTGGGCCAACAGCGCCTCCTTCTCTGCCTCTGGCAGAGAGGCAGTGATTCCACATGGGATTATGACAACCTGGGAAAGAAAGGACACATTTTAGAAATGTAACATATGCTGTATTTTGTCTGTAAGTACTAGTTTCCACCATAGGTTAGGGGTTTGCTCTTCAACTATTCTTTTAGGTAAAAAAGGTGAAAACTGTGAGTGATTCTACCTGCAGGCAGGCGACCCTGGGTGGCAGTACGAGTCCCATGTTGTCTCCATGGACCATGGTGAGGACACCAATGGTTCTGGTTGTGATACCCCAGGAGTTCTGGAAAGCAAACTGCTTCTCGCCCGGCCTCTTCGGATCCTCAAAAATGATCTCAAACATCTTGGAGAAGTTCTGGCCGAGGTGGTGGGATGTAGCACCCTGAGGAAGTGACAATTTAACAAGATTACTTTGTGTCTTTCCTTGAAAACATCACTGTCTGAGTGCATGTGGCTTACATGTTGCAAAAAGGAGAATTGCAAATCAAACATTTTATCCTGCTGGCCTCAGTGTAAGTGGTTGAGAGGAATCAGTGAATGAATCCAGTTCACCGATGTACCTGAATGGCTCGCCCACTGGCAGAGATGAAAGCCTCCACAGTCGTGGTGTAATCTCCTCCTGCAAACTTCTCCTTCTCTGTCTTCCTCCCCTTTACCACAGGGATCGCCATCAGCTCTTCATACACCTTGGCATACAGCTCCAGGATCTGAAGCACCTATTTACACACACAAGCCAAAAGAAAAACTACCTTTAGTACTGTAAAAGTACAGCATGTAGTGCACTACAACATTTCTATCACTGTTTCTCAGCCCTGATACATCCAGATCAGGGTTCCAGGGATCTATTACCTCCTCAGCAGCCTCCTCTTGGGTGGCAAATGCTGAATGTCCCTCCTGCCACAGGAACTCTCTTGTTCTCAGGAAAGGCTGAGGGTGTTTGAACTCCCATCTCTACAGGGAGGAAGAGCAGGAAAAAAAAAGAGATGGCACTTCAGCAACTTAAAATGCCTGTTATTATTAAAATAAAAACGTAAGGTATAATGTGAGATGTGCTTTTAAATGGTGTAGATGTGACTAAAAGAGGACTGACCACAACATTACACCACTGGTTGAGTCTGATTGGCAGGTCTCTGTGGGATTGGACCCATTTAGCGTAAGCTGGGTACATCGCTGAGGGAGACAGAGAGAGAGAGAGGTTCATACCAAACATGATGGAGCAACAAGACCTCACCAACAGCTTCATTAAATACAATGTAAATGTTCTACATCTGTTTGAGAGGCTGTGTATGTTCAGTGTGTGCATCATCATAGTTATATACAGTAGTGTCCACTAAAGACATGTAGTTCAGACCTGTCTCACTGGTGGGTCTGACAGCAATGGGCTCTGCCAGCTCGGTTTTTCCTGACCGAGTTACCCAGGCAACCTGACAAAGATCACAAAACCCCCATTAATAGATTGATAGCATTTTTTTTTCTTTCTGTCGTGCTCCAATCACTATTTTACCCAATTCATTCCCCATAAAGATCCTGGTTACCTCTGGAGCAAAGTCTTCAATGTGGGACTTTTCCTTCTCGAGTGCGGCCTGAGAAACGAACATGGGGAAGTAGCAGTTCTCCACACCAAGTTTCTTAATTTCCCGGTCAAAGAACTCTTTGATCGACTCCCAGATGGAGTAGGCCCAGGGCCGCAGCACATAGCAGCCGCTCACATCATAATACTCGATCATCTCTGCTTTGGTGATGACCTGAAAGGGGACAGCAACGTTATATTGGATAATGAATTATTAGGATATGATCATCATTGTCATCTAGACATATAAAAATAAGGCGTGTTTATTCGACTCACCTGAGAATACCAGTCAGCCAGGTTCTCCTCTTTCTTAGCCTCCAAGCCCAACCTAACAAGAGGATGACAAATGAGTTGGTGTTGGAAATTAACTGAATCTTTGCATTTGATTCACAATGATAGTATAACTATATATACAAATATAAATCTTATAAATGTCATGCATGTAGATGAAGCTGTTTCTAGGTATCTTATTTTAAATGTTGAGATTTGATATTAAGTCTGTGTTCTACAGTATTAAAGAGTTTTGTGGGGGTTTATTTATCTCATCAATGAAGGAACATCTGAAGAAAGAACTATTTGTCAAATTAACTTTAGATTTGATGAGGTTCTGCCCACATATGATGACCGAATGTCCTGAGAAACACACAGTGATGTATAAAGTCGATGCCTTGTTAGCTGATCTACTCAACAGCTACTGCACAGAGAGGTGCAGGTTCAATGATCATTTCTCTTGAGTGCAACAATTGACACGACTCCCAATCTAACCAGCCATGCACAGCCAGCAAACCAGTTTCCTGCTGCTAACTGACAAAACACTGAGAGCGAGCTGCACCATAACTGCAAAGTGACAATCCCCAATCATCATGGTTTTAATTTTAATCTGAGGAACAAGTTATTTTTTGTACTTTTTGCATCTTGTTTAAAAAAATCTTCACCTTCAGCAGGTCGTCAAATTCAAATTTTCTAGTGATCCCATGAGCCAAAACAAACCTGAGTTTACAGCCATGCTGACAGCTCGGTGAGGAATTGGTAATGCCAATATGTTAATGCTAAGATAAGACAATGTTTAGTGTGTTTACAGTCTTCATTTAGCATGCTATCAATCCTAATGTTTGCCAATTCGTACTTGAATCAGAATAAACCAGAGAGGACTGATGAGAATTTCCATGGTTTGCAGTGGATCATAAACCAAAGTAGAATGTTGAGCTGCTGGTGGCACTAAAGCACAAGTCAGCTGATATAATTAGGATTCATCCTCTGGTCACCATGGATATCCCTACCAACAATCATAACAACACATCCCATAATACTTTACATAAATGTAAATCTCCTGTGGTTGACAGAGAAAATCAGGAGTCAGCAAAGTCAATGGGATTCATCCTCTGGGGATCCTGAATGTCCAAAATACCATCTCAGTGTTGAGATTCAAGGAGGGCTGACAGACAGACATCCCCAGAGCAAGAGTCATGCAACATGTCTCAAAGCATTCCCAAGACTGACAGCACACACTAATCAAGCATATGAAAACCACACCAACTATTTAGACTCACCAAATCCAATACAACACTTTCTTCAGTCATTAAGCTACAGCAGAGCTGTGCTCACAGATGATCCATCTTCAGCATCCAAGCGTAACAGTGTACTACAATTTGAATTAAATCTGCACTTATTGAAAACTGGGGCATCATCTTCATGCCACTGTCCCCCCAGTATTTCTGTAAAGGCTTAAAACTTTGTAAAGTTCAAAGCAAATTCATCCCGAGGTGCGATTACATACAAAGTACATGCAAAGACACAAAAAGCTATAAATTCAGGCGACAGTCTGCATGACTTTGAGATTCTCCTGACTTATGGAACATAAAGGCAAAGGCTTGGTGAGAAGCATGAAACAGTACGACTACAAGGTAAGTTCTAAAAATATGAATCTGTTACTTGATTCCAGCTATCAGTTTATTAGGATCCAAATTAGCACAAGCATTGGCTAACTTCCAAAGTTAATCCAAAAACTGTCAAGTCACTGTGCATGTGCTAGTCACACAAGTCAGAAAATTGGCTCATGTGTAATTTGAACACATTATAAGAATACAGTTCAGTATGAATATTATTTATTGGCTCAGAGATTCTGACTCTGCAGGTCAAGTTCAGACAAATGCTTTTCTTTTTTGCAGAATGTGCAGTAGTGAGAGGAATACAACCATCAGTCTGCACAGTGAGGGTAACCACAGTTAAGAGTGTGAACAGGTTTAGAAATCATAGTGTAAGGTTTGCATACAGAGAGTGAAAGAAAGGGTTTAAAGTAGAAAAGTTGATTTCAGATGCAAAAAGTAAAACAATACTTTGTTCCTCAATATTTTATAATGGTCTTTGTATTTATTGGTAAAAGGAAGCCAGTACTTCCAACATCTTTAAGTTTGGCTCCAAACAATTTCAGATCTTTTCTTGACTGCTCTTCTTTCACTTCTATCCAGTCTCTCACCGTGTTTGTTTCTTGGATCCTTGTCCATCTCCTGCTCCTCCAGCTCCTCCTGCAGACTCTTTACCCTGACCAGCCTTGTCTCCTTTACCCTTCTTTCCACCTCCTGCTCCTCCTCCTCCCTGCTTCTCAGACTTGTTCTCCTTCTCCTTGCGGTTTTTGTCGTCTCCTCCAGGACCTCCAGCAGCAGCCACTGGTTTGTAATCCTCTCCCGTAAGAGTCTTGTACTTGTTCTTCAGGTCCAGGAGACTCTTCACAGCCTCATCTACCTGATCCTGAAAAAAAAAGTACAGTTGATTTTTTGAACTCTCCACTTGACACTGTTTTTTAATTCAGCATGTGATTGGTTCCTTACCTTTGGGGCCTTCTCAGACTTCAACTTTCTCACCAGCTCTCCCTGTTGGGCCACCTGTGAGAACAGCTCCTGGGTCTGTGGAGAAGAACTGGACTTGGTGGAAGAGGAGCTGGTCTGAACAGAAGGAGCTGGGGCTCCTGGTTTGTAATCCTGTCCAGTCTGCTGTTTGTACTCTGTCTTCAGAGCCAACAGCTGCTTCACTGCAGCATCTACCTGATCCTGGTGATAAGTCAGCATGAAGAGAGCCATGTCGTCAAAGCTGCAGTGAACAAATGCACGACTATTCAACAATGTAGAAAGTCTCAAAGCAGGGGAAACAGTGTGGACCCACCTTGGGAGCTTTTTCAGTCTTCAATTTCCTGACCACTTCTCCCTGTTCAGCAACCTTCTCGTAGAGGCCGGTGGCAGCAGGGGCAGGGCTAGGGCTGTTCTGGACTGGACCAGGGGTTTTCTGGACTGGAGCAGGGGTTTTCTGGACTGGAGCAGGGGTTTTCTGGACTGGAGCAGGGGTTTTCTGGACTGGAGCAGGGGTTTTCTGGACTGGAGCGGCTCCCGGCTTGTAGTCCTGACCTGTGAGCTGTTTGTACTCTGCCTTCAGGGCAAGCAGCTGCTTCACTGCTGAATCAACCTGGTCCTGGAGACAAGAAGGATACTGTCACTCAGTTCATACCATTTTTTATTTATTTCTGAAATGGTTTAACACTTTTGTCACCGCACATGTGCACAATAAACATCAGGAAAAAATGTTAATATTCCTTTAAAATGTGAATTCTAACGTCATGATACAGATAAAGACAATTTGTATAAACATCAAAGCTTTTGTACCTTCATTCATTTTCATTTTTATTTTCATGTCATTAGTGTGTAAGTGTATCTATTCCAAACACCTCGTCCAACACTCAGTCACATCTCAAAAATCTATGTCACAGTTTTCCACAATTCAAGATGATGTCTTTAAACATCTTGTAAGTCCGACCAATGTTCCAAAGTCATTCAATATGAACACATATAAAAGCAACAAATTGTTTGTTTTTAGAAAGTGGGAAAGGAGAATGTTGGATATTCATTTTTATATTTTTTTATGTTCTAGCTGTTTTCAATTCAGCAACATTTCTCTTCAGTCTAGGCGTCAGAAATCCACCTGACCCCTGAATGTTTTCCCACCACACTGCAAAATCCAGTAATGGACTAATCTGTTATTTGGGTCTCAGAAAAATAAAAAGTGATGACTGATATTCACAAATATAATTTGGGCTTGAATAAATAAATAAATAAGAACCATTTTATACTGTCTGCCATGCTGCTTTTGGATACCTTGGGGGCTTTCTCAGACTTCAGTTTCCTCACAACCTCCCCTTGGTGTGTGACACGCTCATAAGGACCTGAAGAAGAGATCTTCACAGGGGAAGGAGCAGGGGGGGCGGCGGCAGGGGGGGCGGTGGCAGGGGGGGCGGCGTCAGTGGGCGGGGCCATCCCTGGTTTGTAATCCTGACCAGTCAGCTTTTTAAACTCTGCCTTTAGAGCGAGGAGCTGCTTCACCGCTACATCAATCTGATCCTGGTACCATCAACAAACCAGCATATTGATGCAGGAAGTTAAAGATAAACTTCACTGGCATGCAAATTGGACAGTAACATGAGAATTGACTCGTCAAATGCGTGCAGACACGAACAATGACTGGACGGATCACGCAGTTTGAACGAACAAATGAAAAATGACTGGACAACCGAAATCCACAAAGAGACAAATGACTTGGCACATGGGGAATGATTGGACAACCAGATGTGGGCGTGATGAGCGACTGGACACAGATGTGAACACAAACATTAGTTGGACGATGGTTTGTGGACATGATTAGAGACTGGACAAACATCCACGTACCTTGGGTGCCTGCTCTGCCTTCAGTTTCCTGACCAGCTCACCCTGTTGGGTCACACGGGTGAATGGACAGGAGGCGGAGTCTGATGAAGATGTGGGTGGTGTTGGAGCTGAGGTGGGAGGGGCCATACCTGGCTTGTAGTCCATACCTGTCTGCTCTTTAAACTGAGCCTGCAAGAGACAAAAGTGGATATAAATGGCAAATCATTTGAATTATTAACAGTAAGTGTCTTTACTTGCTGTTTATTTTTCTTTTAGTTACAGCTGATGCACCTTGAGAGAGAGCAGCTGCTGAACAGCTTTGTCCACCTCGTCTTTTGGGGCTTTGGCAGTCTTTAGCTGGCGCACAGCTTCCCCTTGAGTTACAATCCTTGAGAACAGGTCACCACCTGAGGCTGAGGCAGGTGCTGAGGCAGGTGCTTGGGCAGCCTTGGGGGCAGCCTTGGGTGCAGCCTTGGAGGCAGCCTTGGTGGGGGTGGCGGACTAAGACGAGAGGTAAGACAGATTTACTGATGGAGAATAACAAGGAATTTAAATCTGAGAAATAACAGAAATAACTGCAGCTTCATCTTAGCTTTTTTCTTCAAAAGCACTCACTGTGTTACTGGAAGTCTGGCTCTTGCCTTTGTCCTTGGATCCAGCAGTTGGCATCTCCTTGGTGTGACCATCAGGAATGTAGAGCAGGACACAGGGGCTCTCCTTACAGCTGTTAGGGCTACAGAAGTTTACCACAGTTAGACGCAGACAGGAGGACAATTAAAACACTTAGACAGGAAAATGACCTCTATGATGAGGTGGTTCAAGCACACAAACACTTCACCTGACTGGCTCATAGGGCTGGTCGCAGATGTAAAAGCCTCGTCTCTGGAGCTGGATGATGTCACCTTTCCTTAGGTTCTTCAGACAGGGATCTCCAAGCATCTTCTCCTCCAACTGAAAGAATGGAAGTCAAAAATAGAAATATTATATACGACCAAAGTAAATGAGACACGTCAGATGAGGTTGAGTGCACACACTGCAGAACAGACCTTGCTGTTTTTATTAATGTACTCTTTGAAGTCGTCGTCTTTCGTGATGACAGCTTTGGATATGAGAGGCTGGTAGTTGACGCAGATGGTCTGCAGAAGCGGGGCGCTGTTAGTTTCAGCCAGCCATGTGATCTTTGTTGTCTTCTTGTAGTCTTTGTTGTCCAGGTTCAGGCGAGCCTCCATGGACACAACTTTACCGTCAGCCGCTCTGAGTGGGGAGAAGGGGTGAAAAAGTGAATGGGTGAAAAAGCGTATCATTACTTTAAGACAACATCATGTGATTCTTAAAAACTAGATGGATTCCCTGAGAAATGATTACACATACTTGTTGATCTTGGTGATGATGAGGTTGCCCCAGTTGATGAAGGTGACCATCTCCCCCTCTGAGAAAGTCTCAGCATCTGCTCCTTCAACCAGAACTCGGGGTCCATACCAAACCTCCTTCATGCCCACCTCTATGTTCTGGATGCCGAGGAAATCAAAGTAGCACCGACATTTTTTTAATGTTTTATTTGCAGTGTATGGACGTCAAAATCAACTTGCAGAGACTATCCTCAGCATAGCAGATGCATTACAATGAAACACACTGGTATTATAATTAGAGAGTTTTTAAATCAGAAAGTGAGCAGGGAATTAATTAAAGCTCTGACCACATAAGAGGCCACCATGTTTTTTACAGTAGCCTAGACTGGACGAACTAAACATCTTTTGAGTTTTTATGACAACTGAGGGCTAATACAGGTTCTCTTTCATGTTACAAAGGGGAGGATGAGGTGAGGGGTATTCAGCTGCAACATGCATCTTCACCACTAGATAACTTCCATACACTGAACCTTTAATAATGCAAAATACTAGTACATTTCTTTAAAGCTAGTGTTGTTAATCATGGAAGAGCTGTTATAACCATGCTACATTTAGAAAAAAATGCAACCGATATATCCCATCCCCTTCCATCAGCCCTCTCATCAAATCGTGCGCAGAGAGAGACCAGGCAGGCAAGTTGGATAACGACAGACCAGTCATTGTAATTAATTAATTGATAATTAGACTCCTGCAAGGGCCACAGACACCTTGTTTTTTTTTTCTTTTTCAGACGACTATATTTATTGATGGCTATCAGGACATGAAGAGGATTTCAACAAATAAGATAATAAGTGTTTCATAAACATCTCTGTTAATTTAAATAAACCATCTACTTTCACTGAGCATTAAAATGATATAAAATAAATCATAAGCGAGGAAGAGCAAAAGACCACTAACCTTTGGGTGTTTGGCCACTTCCTTCATCTCCTCTTTTGCCTCTGGGATAGAAACAGGAACCACATAGGTGGACAGAGCTGTGTATCTGGGGGCTACTGGATCAATCACCTAACACAAACACACAAACGCACAGACAGAAACAGACACAAAACAGGTGAGTCGAAGAAGAAAGCAGCTTTATGACATCTCCAAAAACAAAAGGCTGAGTAATGAAAGGACCAAGAAGAAAATTATGCAGCTTCACTCAAAGCAGAAAAATACCCTGATCTGCTTAATGCCAAACAGAGGAAGACAGAGTCGCAACAAAAAGATGAGTGGAGAAAGAAAAGTTGGTTTCATGAGTGGATTATGTCTGTTTGCATTAAGCCTCCATCCTCTGTCACTATGTTACCAGCCAGTGTGAAGGAGCCTGGATCTAAACGTAATGATTTCCAGAATAGATCAAATAATCATCATAGCAGTAGAGACATCACTGTGTTGGATGCTCAAATTTAAAATATCTGATTTACATTAATCATATTTAATTTCCTACATCAGATGTTGTAAAATGATCTCTTGTGGTGTTATTTACAGTAAGGAAACAGTTGGTGGAGAATGTGTCAAAGTTCTGGACAGGTTTAGGAAACAAAGCACGGAGCACTTCTGAACTCTCACATGATTATTAAAAATGTTAAAGTGGATTTAGAAATATAAAAGGAAACTTCTCAGCTGGTCAATGAAAAAGCTGCAATGGATTCTGTGGATGAAAGAAGGGGTGAAATGGAAGGGACGGCATGATGGGGGAGGATTTTGCACTGGGTATGGATGTGCTAGGACAGTTTGAAGTAAAAAAATAAAAAAATAAATAAAAGTTAATTTAAGATTTAACACTGCATTTTGAAAATCCTTCAATGAAATCCAACCATCAGACTTCAAAATCTGCCCAAATCACAGAAAGACAAAGAGCGTCAATGTCCTTTTTTAGTAAGATTATATATTTTCGATGTACGTTCAAAATCACATTCTTCACATTCAAATGAGTTGTACAGGCAATTGGCATTTGCCATTACATCAAGCTACCATGACGTCCAGTGTCAACCAAACTAAAAACTTTGAAAGGACCCTTTAATACCTACGGGGCCTATGGGACACAGGCCAAGAGGCCCACTGGTTCAGAGGGCCCCTCTGGCAAAGCCTCTGTATGAAGTGACTGTGAATATTTCTGGCTTTATAGTCAGAGTTCAGTTGAAATACTACAAAGACAGGTAGATGAGTAAAACTGCACGACACAAATGACATCAAAGTGAACACATTCTTTGCAGATGGGCAGAAAAAAAAATTGATGAGCAGATTAACAATTATTTAACAATTAACAGAGTTAATAAATGTTTAAATAATTAAATAAATGGTTAATTTAAGTTTTTGATGAAAATTGAACTTGTCTATTATGAGTCACTGAGCCTCCTAGCAGCCAACAATTATTTTAAAACATAAGACAAGATAATGAATATCCCTTGAACCTTGAAGGTCCAATAAAAGCTATGCAATAGTTTGATGATAAGTTGTCAAGCATCAGCAGTTGTTAGGGACACAGCCAACAGTTCAAACTACTTTTAAGACTTTAACCTTCTTCAGTAATGGTCTGAGAAAGTTCTCTGACCTTTTTTGAGACTTTTGATTTACAGATACCCTGTTCTGAGGAAGGTGAAGTCTATGTAACTTTGACTCTTTTCAAACTTGGAATGTTAGGGTGTGGTTGAATGTAGAAACCTGACCTACTTCCATAGGGGCCTGGTTCCAAAAAGTTTGTGGTTGTTTGGGTCGAGTTCAGTCAAGTTGGCTGGGCTTTCTGCTTGTTTTTTTGAAGGTGCATGTACCTGTAACTGGGGGGGGGGGCATTTGGCCACATAATATAGAACGCCGCACTCTAGTGGCATTACATATGCATTTACATGAGGGCCCAATTCAAAGTTGTAGTGCATCTAAACAAGAATAACCAGTTTACCAAACACTCTGTAATTTCACCTCTACAAAAAGGTCAGAGTTCTGCACCTGGGAGCTAGTTGATGTTCAAGCACACATGACTCTTGTTGTTGCTCTGACTCCTCTTCTGTTTGCTCTTTAACTGGTAGACCTGACATTTTTGGGCACCACTTTGTATCTATTCCTCTGATCATCTGCTTGGCTGGTAAAATAGTGAAGGCTGCAGGTGGATTTTCAGAGAAACAAGATGAAAACGGAGAGGGGGTGGGTGAAAATGAGGAAGACGAGGAGGAGGAGTACCTTCAGACAGCTAATTGGCAGCTTGGAAACAGAAGAGTGAGATGCTGTTCAATGTCAGATAATAGGAGGGAGGAAGAGAGAGGATAAAGGTAGAGACACATTTACACAGAATGGACTGTTTACATAGTTTCCCCTCATCACTACAACTTCCTGGTTTTGGTTCTCTCTTGAACTCTCTACATTACTTTGCCTCGACTCAGATTTACTTTTCTTTTGTGTTTAAAAGGACACAAACCTATTCTGGTCAAGGTTTGTCAATCACTGACTCATAATTGATCTATCCACTAAACTAAATCCACAAAATAATCATGGGTTTTACGGGGCCCCTGTTCACTGAATTCAGAGTACGGCCTAAAATTCTGGACCATCCAAAATGAACATCTACTGTTAAAGTATCACTTTAAATGCTGTGTTAGATTGAAGTGAAAGAACTGTGGGAACATGAAACTGTCTGAAGACGGCAGGGAGGAGCGGGTTAGCTGAAACATGCATATGAATCCCTTTGCAAAAACAGAAATAGCTAGTAGTTCTTAAACCTCAACCTCAGGCTAAACGTTGTCATTATCACCATGTCATGGAGAGTCCTGGGAGTCAGTGTTCAGCCCCACCATTTTGAACTTAAAGTAGGACAAGTGTCGGCCATGAGGAAAATAAAAAAAATCTGATAAAATCTGCTTTTCTAACTACAGTCTGTGTCTCACTCATCAACGTCACACCTTCTACCTCTGACTCTGGAATGAAGCAGCAGGTGCCAGCGAGGACAAACCACATGGGAGGAAGCGACATCCAGACAAATGAAAATGAGGAACAACAAAAAACAATCCACAAACAACTGTGGGGCATGAAATGAAGCAGCTGGTTGGGTTTGTGAGGTTTTCAGTGTCACTGTTGGGACAATAAGGAGTAACGGTGGGATGATGAGGATCAGGGGAAGAGGTGGCAAATGAAAAGTGTTAAAATGAATGAGAGCAGCGAAGCAGAAAGAAGCCATGCCGGCATTGAATCCAAGGGCAAATACATGTACCTCTGTCAATCACAGGCTTCAGGCCCGCAGCACATTCATGCATCAAATTATATTCTGATCCATTTGGAGTTTGTCAAATATCTGTTGTGGCAAAAGTCAAGCCATTCACTTGTTGACGGGGGCGTGGTCACTTTTATCAATTATCACACTTGTCTTCTCTAACTATTAAGCATATTGGTATCAATGTGGTCTATAATAGATCCAAACTACAATTTTCATTGTTTGATGTACAGCATCAAATTGATTATTAAAAAGAGGAAAAATGTACCTTCTTATTGAAAGCCCAGATCTTGTCCCACTCCATGTTCACCACTGATCTTGATCCTCCCTGGAAAGAGGAGGAGAATAAAGGAATAAAAGAAAACTGAAACCTTTGAATTTTGTTCATTATATAAAGAACACATTTTTGATTATAATGTTGACATTGTAGCATCCTGCTTTACATATTATATATCTTTATATGCTCAGTGCCTTTAAAAGGACAGGGGATAATTTGTAAGATTAAAGAATATAAATAAGAACGAGCTGTTATCAGGCTCAAATAATCCTGTTTATTCTATTCCAGCTAATTTGGTTTTTTGGACACAGTTTAAGATTTGTTAATCCAGGATGAAGTTATCATGCCCTCAGTCTTTGAATTCAGAGGCAGGGAGTTGAAACCATGATTAGTATTATTATATAACTTGGTAAGAGCTGATCATCAGTCAAATCTCAAAATCAGGATAGTATTTGGGTTTTATTTGTTATATATATATTAGTTGAATTCAATATCCACAACAAAGAGAAGGAGGGCTTTTTTCCGTTTAAGAAATTAAAGCTTCCATATTTGTTGTTAACATCTCAGTGGCTGACAGATGTACCTGGGCTGCTATGAACTGTTTCAGACCCTCCACAGTCATTCCTCTCCTCAGGACTCCTCTGACAGTGGGGAAACGAGGGTCATCCCTGAAGGATGAGGCGAGAATGAGTCAGAAGAGTACATTAGGGTAGAGATGGAGAGAATTAAATATTAGGGAATTTATTTTAAAAAACTACCATCCATCGACGTATCCCTGGTCGACGAACCAGGTGAGCTTCCTCTTAGACAGCACTGTGTTATTGAGGTTGAGTCTGGAATACTCCCAAATGTAGGGTTTTCTGATCCGCAGGGCATTGATTATCCAGTAGAACTGATCGTCACGGTCGTGGTACTCGGTGGTCCTAAGAGCGTGGGTCACACCCTCCAAGCTGTCCACGATGGGGCAGGCAAAGTCGTATGTTGGGTAGACGCTGCAAGAAAAGAGGTGGTTAGTTTTCACAACAGATATCAGTAAATATTTGAATATTCAAACAGTGGATGCAAATATCCCAGATGAATTCTTTTTATAAAACTTTAAAAGACTTAAAAGGGTAAAGTACTTGTAGGTGTTTCCAGTGCGGGGGTGGCTAGCCGTCTTGCAGCGGTACAGGGTGGGGTCTCTCATGCAGCCGTTGTTTGACTTCATGTCAATCTTGGCCCTCATGCAGCAAGTCTGACCGCTCTCTGTTCCAGCTTTCATCTCGGACCACATCTTCATGTTCTGCTCTACCGCTGCAGAAGAGACAGAAGTTGCACATTACAGTTTCAGCAAGTTTGCATATTGTAGCTTGGGTGTTCACTGTGATTGACAGTCGTGTCCCCAGTCGTACTGTTATTTCTGCATGTGGACTCAGTGCGCTGCTCCCTCTCCAGCTTCATCTGCTCAGGGGGGGTGTTGTCGATGTAGGCCATGCCCTCAGAAAGCAGCTGTTCAGCAAATTTCATTATGATGGGGAAATGGTCGCTGGTGTAGGTGAACTGGTCGGGTTGAATCTGGAGCATGGCAACATCTTCCAGGATCACCTGAGGAGAAGCAACGACATGTGGAAATAAGAACACTAACTCTTTTCATTTCTAACAGGTGGTTCGGAAATGAAATAGATAATTCACAATTTACCCATTTATATTTTCTCATTTTTAAGACATTGGCAGTGGTGGGAGTTAATTTACTTTGTTACAGTACAGATACATGAAAAATGTACTTAGGTTGATTTAGTTTCAGGTAGACTTTCACTTTTAATCCAATACACATTATTAGCAAATATCTGTACTTCTACTCCAGTACATTCTTACAATGCACTGTGTTAGTGTTGTTTTTTTACAAGTAATTAATAACCAGAGGGGGACTGAGCCACTGATCCAATTGGAGCAGACAGGTAACCTTAGACCTTGGACTAGAGCAAAGCGTAACTGAACAAACCCCTGAAGATGATTCAGAAGAGGCAAACGCTGAGACTCAGCCATGATGATGTAGTAGGCTGTTGTAGTGAACTATGCACGTACTTTTACTTTCAATTCTTAAAGAAATGAGTAAGCACATACTTGCTTTTACTCTGATAGAGAAGTGGATGTGATATTTTTTACTTGAGTACATTTTTGTCGACTTATATGTACTTAAGTAAAATGTTTAAGTACTTCCTTTACCACTGGAAATTGGATGTCTCACCTTCTCAAAGTCCTCCTTTTCCTTCTCGGGGTTGGTGTCGTCAAAGCGCATGATGAGCTTGCCTTTGAATGTGAGCTGGTAGTGCTGGTTGAGCAGAGCAGCCTTGGCATGGCCAATGTGCAGGTATCTAGAGAGACAGACAAATGTATCTGTTAACAGAGGGATCTAATCGTTGTAATCTGAGCACCCCCTCGATCAGCAGCAGATTGAGCCTCACCCGCTGGCCTCAGGAGGGAATCGAACCACCACATTGCCCATCTCAGCTCCTGGCAAATCCACAAACTTTCCGACATCCTGCTTCTTCTCACTCGACTGTAGAACACAGAGAGACAGGAATACAGGAAAGAAACATTTATCTATAATATATTAATCTTTAAATCTGAATTAGTTTCAATACTATCTACTATTTCATATTTCTTCTTGTTTGCTCTGTGTAAAGTTCCACGTTAACCTCACCTGACTAAAAATGTGTTACAGTTTCATTTCAATGATTTTACACAACCAAACATTATTTTTTTTCTTTAACTTTAAAAAAAAATCAACTTACATTGGATTTGGTCGTTGAAGCTTTATTATTGGCGTACTTGTTGTCCACTGCAGTGAAGGGAACCTGTGAGCTCAGGAAGGAGAACCAGCGATTGACGTGGGAGAAGGATTTGCCCTGGCTTGGCCATCCCTCGTGACCTGTGAAGAATCAGGCACAAGCTGTAGCTGTGCTTTTCACCCATTCACCTGCAGAAATTCCAAACTGAAACAGACAGAGAGTAAAACAGGTAGAGATCCAAACTGCCACATCCTGGGGGGTACTGACCTTTCAGGGCAGCCCAGACAGAGAGATCTGCCAGGGTGATGGCGTGGCCGACCAGGAAGGTGCGCAGGGAAAGGGCCATATCCAGTTCCCTCAGCGCCACGGTCAAACCGGGCTGGCCACACAGACTACGAGCACTGAACTCCAACCAGTGGTCGACCTGCAGACATAATCTGAAATAAGAAGCAAGAACCACCAACTGTTGCAATATATCTCAAATATACTCCAACATACTCACCTCAGTCTGCTCCATCATGTTGGCTCCGTAGAGGCCAAGAGCAGGAGCCACCCGGGCCAAGTAGCGACTGATGGAGTTGGCATCATTGAACTGGATCGCACTGAGGAAGGGACAGTTAACATAGATGAGATACATCGGCAGTCAAAACAACAAGAGATATATCTGCACAACCTCTAACTCTATAAACAGACACAGTTTCTACATGTTCTTTCTTTTTATTGAACAGTTTTATCTCAACATTTCTTTTAATTTCCTTTTAACAGAGGAAATGAATGAATAACTAAATAAGATCCCATTGGGTGGACAAGGCAATGTAGTATGTAGGATAAGTATGTCCTTATCTGAAAATGATTCCATATCATGGATGTCTATTATCAGTAGATTTCCTGTCCAAAGTACATTTTAACATACAGTATATATATGCATTATTCCTCATACTCATACATGGCCTGTTGATGATCAGCTAGCTCTCTGAACTTTGATGTTATAATTGTGTCACATACTCTGAGACGTGAAGGCGGTTGTCTTTGCCTTCCTCCACTGACACCTGGACACTGCCCTTCAGATGCTCGGCTGCCAGCAGTGCACCTGCAGGACAAACGTGTTTGTTAGTGTGTGCAGTGATTCTCAGTAAACATGGCCTGATCAGCTTCAATCAGTCAGTCAAAGGCAACTGGACATGCTTTAGATTCCGGAAGATTCTTCGCCTTCTAGCCAAAGGGCTAGAACAACGATCTACTGGATGACTGGCAATCTTCACAGATGTAGAGAGATTCAGAGAATAATTTAACTGGTTCTGTGATCCAACATTCATGCACACTCAAATAATTTGTTTTACTCTGACTGACGTGCAAAATGAATACATGCCAGTAATAAAGTATTCAGTTGATCAAGGAATTGTAGCTGAGAGGACGACAGCTCTGATGTTGCATCATGGTTTTTTTTCTGTATACACAGTAAAAAAGATGAGCAAACTCTAAAACTATCTGCATGTTCAACAGATGATACAAGACAGTTCATGACAGCAGCAGAAGTACATGTGCACAACATAGGCACTCCCCCCACCCAGCACCACGTTTCAGGATGCTTGCATCAGCCTGCTGCTCTCGCTGCTAACGCACCGCGGCGCTGTTCGTTCACTGTCAAGCTTGTCATTATACTAGCTCATATTGCTTTAAAGCCGTGTCCACACTTTAAGAACACATCTCTCACACTTTAAACCAAACGTGTTTATTTATTCTTCACTTAGGCAACATGTCACGCTGCATATGTGTACTCCTGAACAGAGCTAGCTACAGTTAGCTACCGTCATGATGTGCATGTCCCTATGAAGTGTCCACAATCGTTTTCAAGAAGACTTTTCACAATGTCCCGGGGTTGAACGGCGCTAATGGATAAAGTTGACGAGAGTGGACGAGTGTTGTTTAAACCAATTGTCATTAATAAAAACAAAGCGTTCACTTGTTGTTGTTTTGGGAGTGCCACGACGGCATGCTAGCTAGCGTTAGCTTGTTAGCTGTACACAGCGCTGCACACTGTCATGAGCCGCCGGCTGAATGCGTGAGGTAACCCGCCGTGTGTGAGCCAATATGGACATGCCTCTAACCAGGTCGCTTTCACATATAGGTCGAGTTACAGGCGTTGCTGTTTTGCCAAAGAAACTACACAACTGCCTCAAAATTCATAGTGATATTTAAGTCCAATATTCAATTCGGCTGGTCACTGTAGAACAACATTTAACAGCCGCATTGGAAGATGAAACTTTTTCTTTGTTGTTCATGGTTGTTGTTTTTCTCGTAGCTTCAGCATTAACAGAGTGAGCGACCTCACGGTCTCTACGGCAGCACCGTTTAATGCACGCGATCAGACCTCATATAGAAACATTTTCTCACATAGTGTTAACTATTGAGCTGACTGACACGTAGCAGCCCCCGACCAGCTCACTGTCACCGGCTGCCTGCGTGCACAGCACACCGCTCCCCCCCTGGAGGGTCTGCTCCGGGATCAGCGCGGGCAAACACTCACCTAGAGGCGGGTTGCTCGTGTTTATGATGAGGTTCAACGCCATGATGTGAAGTCAGGTGGTGAAGCCTTGTTTCAGAGACTGAAGTCTGCAGACGGAGAGGAGGAGGAAACACTCCACACCGACACGGCACGGCAGGAAGAGAGAGGGGCACGCTTCTGTGGTTTTTATGAAGGTTAACCAACTACTGGGATGTGTAACACTGCCACCAAGTGTACAGGCGTAGAACTGCACAGACAGATAGCGAGATAGATAGAATAGAATCGATAGATAGATAGATAGATAGATAGATAGATAGATAGATAGATAGATAGAAAGATAGATAGATAGATAGATAGATAGATAGATAGATAGATAGATAGAAAGATAGATAGATAGATA